GCCGAGGGTATTGAGGCGCTGTCTAAATCTACTTTTTTTTTTTCAATAAAACAAAAAAAAATATCTTCATAAGCGCGTATATTTTTGTTCTTTGGGCGAAATAGGACAGCTTTATTTTTACTTCTTTCACTTTTAGCGCGTTACTCAGAGATCCTTTTTCCAATTTCCCGAGGGTAGCATTTGCTCGGGAAATTAGTTCGGAGAGATATTTTGCGGAAAACAACAATGCACTATGTCATCTGCAGAAATAACAAATTTTGCGACGTTATCTATGTTTACTATATCCTTTAAGTAGATGCTAAAGAGAAACGGACCCAGAATACTCCCTTGCGGTACACCTGAGGAAATTGGTTTTATATCTGAGGAGGGACCATTCAGTTGTACAAATTGCTTTCGACTACGTAGATACAATGTTAAGAGCGCTAAAGCGTTTCTGCAAAAACCACAAATCTCCAGCTTTTTTTAATAGCAAGTCCCGATTCAAATAACCGAAAGCTTTTGTAAAATCGCCGAAAATTGTGAGCGATAATGTTTTGTGTCCGAAACAATTTAGGATAAATTCTTTCTGTTCTAAAGAGGCAAGTTCTGCTGACCGATGTTTCCTGAAACCGAATTGCGGGTTATTCAATATAAAATGCTTATTGCAGAAATTAGACATTCTAAATAAAATTAACTTTTCCAGTCCCTGAAAAGAAAAAAAAAAAAACAAGGAATATTGATGCAGACCGATAGTTCCCCATATCGTTTTTGTTTTATCTTTTATACCAGACGGTGACTCTTGCGATTTGCATTCCTTAATTTTTATACCATCTGCATGGCAGCTTGCACTGTTATTTAGTCCTATAAATACAGATGTCACCTTAGTTTCTATTGCCGGGCTTAGAAATAAAGACTTGTCATTTGTTCCTTTTGTATAATTCAAAGTATAACTGTCGAAATTGCCTCGGTCAAGGTTGACAAAGAAGTTAATAAATTCATAAGCGAAGCAGCTTCCATTCGATTCTTTATTGTTCAGACGAATTTCGCGATTGGTTTTGGTTTACAAGAGCGATTCAATACTGCGTTCAATTTTCTCCACGTTGCATCTGCTTTGTTTGAGCGCTTGGAAAAAATGTTTAAAAAATAGTTGGCTTTTGCATTTATAATATCTTTCGTTAGTTTGTTGCGGTATTGTTTGAACGTTTTACGCAAATCACGATCACGCGTTTTTAATCTTTTTTTTTATATATAATGCAGATTTTGCTTGAATTTTGTCCAGCAGCTCTGGGGTGATCCAAGTTTTGCGGATATTTTTTGACAGCCGGGGTAGCCTATGGGGAAAACATTCTGTGTACAATATTTGAAACTTAATTTAAATGTAACATAGGCACGATCTCCGTCTATTTCTTGAAATCTATCACTCCGATCAAGGGAGAGCACTTTTTACCTGAAAGTTTTAAAGTTGTTCAATGAAATATCCTGAAAACATACTGACTCGTTTTCTTTCATGTTCAATGTTTTTTTTTTCTTAAACGAAACTAGATACCATGGTGGCTCCTTATGTCAGCACTCATTACTCCTGCCAAAAGAAGAGACGTGTGTAGGTGAGTTATGAACGAATCAAGCAAAGAACAACATATAGAAGAAATTCGGGTAGGTGAGGGGATCACACTCATACATCCGAATTGTTCTATAAGTTGTTAGGTTTCTTTTCGCATGGGTGTCTGTGGCCGTGTTAATACTAATATCACCGCCCATAATCAAGTTGCATTTATTTTAATTCGCAACATTAAACGTTGAGTAAAGGAAATTTTAAAAAAAAGCGTTTGAAGTTTCTTATGTGGAGGCCAATACACAACGGCTACCACGTTTTAATTTATGCGCACACAGAACTTCATAATCTTGGTTTACACACGACTAGTTAGACATTTCGCAAGAAAAATTCTGTTTTACCATGAAAACACACCACCATCCCAACCAATAATTCGATTTAGAATCAATATATTGTATAACGGTGAAACAAAATTTGGGGTTCTTACGTGCCAAACCAACGGCGGGCATCTGGCACGCCCCAGCGGAGGACTGAGGATTAATTTCGACCACCTGGGGATCTTTTGACGTGCAACCGAAAGCTCGGTTACACGGCGCCGTCTCCGCAATAAGCCTCCGCCAGATTGCGGGCACCTCGGCCGGGATTCGAACCCGCCACCTGGGGATCCGTAGGCCGACGCTCTCGCCTCGGAGCCACCGAGGCGGCGTATAACGGTGAAGAAAACGTATGATTGTGTTCGACGTACCAAGTCTCGGTTAACGTCATCACGTCGAACGACTACTGGAATTGACTAGAAAGCAGTTCAAGCTCGGTTATCTCGTTTCAGCGGAATATGTATTTATGTGAAAATATTTTAATGATTGGGTATATTCTCTTCCGCATACACTTTCACAATCAGTTGACACTATGTAAACCGGACTCACCATTATTGGGGTCTAACTAATGCACAGACAGGCGTGTACAGAATTTACGCAATCTCATCCAGGTCACTTTCACTTCGCATAATGACGGCTCTTTCCCGTCTTTCTGTCCAATGCGGATCTTTCCATTCTTGTGCCAGACATACTTGTAGTCGTGATTTTGAGCCCAGTCCTCGGTTGCCGCGAGCAAAATTTTGTTCCTATTCGTTAAGTTCTCGAGAATATAACAGTAAATCTTCAACTTGTTCAGTTTACTTTTCTTTTCGAGTAAGGCATTTTTCACCAATTGACTCGCAAAACAAACAATGATACTGACACCATGATGCTGACAGCTGCAGGCAGCTTGTGTATCGAAACAACGTCATTCACGCTAAGTTTCAGAACATTTGTTTTCGAGGCCACGTCATTGACCTTTGACAGATCTTCATTTTCAGATACGGGAATTCCTTGAAACTCGAGATTTCTGCCCTGCCATTCGAGGTCACCAACGTCCTGCATAAGCTGGTGGGCCCCACCATAGCCTCCTCTAGCTATGGCCCCACTGGATCGTTCCCGCCTTTCAAGATTATCCACTTTTTTTTTACATGATTGTAAACCTGAGACTGGGGCAGAAAAGAGAACACAACAGAAGGTAGTAAAAGAAGAGGCAACGTCTCAAACTCAGCTGCAAAGTTTATTTCGAACACGCTTTATATACCCCATCTCCTACGCCGTTTCTACAAAAAAAAAAAAAAAAAAAAAAACGCTTATGACAAGAGGACAATGACACTTGGGTAAACCTTCTCTTATCTCCCTTGACCTCGGCTGTGGGACACTCACACAAAGGGTCACATTCTAACATAACCACCGCCACCCGGCGAACGTTTACAGTCATGTTCAACTTACACCAGCTCGCCTGCACTCTGACTATTTTTTTTTTTATTCGGCTACCTCCTTGTCCCGATGACGCACGTGGATGAGAGGTTTGTCGTATTGGTCCGACATTAATTGTGCAGACTGCTCAATACTTTCTGCGGCGTCATTGTCTTCTCTAGCTTTTCGTTGGTACCTACAAGTATACTTGCAACGTTATCATCTGACTCCTTTTTCGATCTGACACTTTGGCCGCCCTTGACTTCGCTGCCCTCCATGTGAAGCACGCTCATTGAAAAAAGAAAAAAAAACTATTTTTGTTTGTTTTCGGAATATTAACAATGGATTTTGAGTTTACGAAGAGTACTTCTTTCTATCTCTCGAAACACTACTTTCTTGTTTACTATTTTCTATTTTTTTGTTCTTGTGCGATGTTTGGATGAGTTCTGCGTTGAACAGAGCGTGAACCCAAATCCCGACCTCTCCTCTTCCCCCCTCCCCTCTCCATTCTGCCAAGAAGCGTCAACTGTCAACCCACCGTAGACCTTATAGTTCCAGACAAACGCAGCAAAGCACCGTGCAAGTGGCGAAATTATCTGTGCCGGTGCCACCGTGTACAAAATCTGCGTACGAGTGAGTTGAACATGAGCATAGCCTCGTCCAAAAAGTCCGTAACCCTGCAGAAAAGAAAAAAAAAATGTAACTGTTTTAGCACTCCTCATCGTAAAAGAGTGTGTGCCAATTAGAGCCAGTAAATAAGGGACGATTCGGAGTAACGACACTAGAGTCATACTGGGGCATCATCATTGCCAATGGACCTTTTCTCAGAAGCGTTCTGCGCACGCGCGAGTGCCCGATGCCAAGCGACGGAAGTCTGCACGAAAAATCGAGGAAATTCGGAAGGAGGCTGTGGATCAGCGAGTAGAACACCGTACTTGCAGCATATACGTATATACATATATATATATATATATATATACAATTGTGCTACACAAAAAAAGAAAGTGGACGGAAAGAAAAACACGACGTTTGGGTGGACGCCACGATGCCCCTCTTTAAAGTCGCGTTGGGCACGCGCCGCAGCTCAGAGAGTTAAGAAACTGGTAGCGTAGCTCCCATTATCGATTGGTTGCGCAGGTAGGTCACTTCCTCGATTTCTAGTTCGTGCAGCCACCGCCTGGTGCCGTCATATCTGAAAAAGGCCCAATATCCCGAGGTTTATTATTAAATCACGACAAAAAGAAAGGATATTAACGTCCTATCTAAAGATCGGGAAGTGGCATCGCAACGGTGGCTCATGGCGCCCGCACTATACTTCATCTCACCTTAGCGTGGACTATTTTTAGCCGCGCATGCCAAAAGCGCGAGCTATTTGCTTACGATGAAACCTCAGCGGCTGCACCAGCGCTCGTGCAGCGAGTACTCTCGAGTCAAGGCAGTTAAGGCTACCCGCTCGCGCTTGCAAACCCTTCGCAGTTAGTCCATGCTAAGGTGAGGCGAAGTATAAGCAGCAAACTCGCGGCGCTCGCGAGATATGCTCGAAGCGTCGATTGTTGGCTGGCTCGAGTCAGATAAGCGGGCCCTTTCTCGGCGCCCGCCCCGTCTTTGTCCGGTGGCGAGGACTTGGCGTTGTCCCCCCTCGCGCGACGGGCCGACTCTCGGTGTCCGCGCAGCCAACAGCTCGTAGAAGAAGGCCGCCGACGACAGGGCGAGACTCAGGACCCACAGGACCAGGTGGGGCCGCGCGTCCTGCAGGTCCATCCGCTTCACCTGCTGCGGGAGGTGAAGTTTCTCAGGTTGTGACAGAGCCCGTACAGCGACGCGGCGAAAGAGGAAAACACGGCGTTACGACCGCGAGCCTCGTGGGAAACGCCGCAGCCACTTGGAAGAGGGCTGGAAGCGTGCGAAACAGGGATGCCACTCGCGGTCGTAACTCGTCGTCACGTAGCCGAACACCACACTCGTCATAGGCGTCGAATCCTCACTACGTACCGCTACTGCATCAATGGGCTTTCGGATCTTACGCATTAGAACTAACACGCACTGCGGGCAGCCTGCCCAAGACGCGCACACCGCCGCTTCTTGCACGGTACATGTTGGAAGCAAACGCGTGCAGAAGCTGGCCAAAGTTTCCCCGGTTCCAGGCTCGCACGCGAGGGGAGCTCTTCACGACTCCGGCGAGATGAACGAGAGCGGAAAGCTGCAGGTTCGCTCGCCAGCCTTCTCGAACAAACCGGACAGCGCCTGGCAGTCGAAACGAGAAGCCGTCAAAGTAAGTTTCAGAACACGCGCTGAAAATTAGCGTTTCACGTTTGGTCCGACCCCGGCCAAGGCTACGTCTCAGCCAACCAAGCAGCGCCAAAAGTGTCACGGTGTCTCTGCGGCACCGAAAGAATCACGCGAAGCTGCGTATTCGCTGGCTGCGAATGATTTAGCCGGTGATAGCGAGCACACAGAATTACAGGAGGTCACTCAAGGCTGCTTACGTGTAGAAGTGCGAAAGCATTCGTTCACGCAGCGCATTTCTACAAGTAGCGGGCCCTGCTGTCCTCTCTACAGGCCGGCCGCCGGCCGGCTTCTGCGGTGGCCGCGCGCACGCCGTGCACCCTTTCCAATTTACCGGCGCGCGGACTCCAGCGCCGGGAAGAGGGCGTCTCCGTGGTGTGGCATTCCTTGGAAGTATGACGCGTCACGAGACGTTTTTCGCGGTTACAAACTTCCGGCTGCGTTCCATGGGACAGGTAATGCTCTCGCATTAAAAGACAACGACCGCCATGACGATGCATTTTTGGCACTGCTCGATCCATCTGGTCATTAGCTTCGGTCGGACTTAATGTAAAATGGAGCGTAGGATGCTTTTTCTGCGTGAAGGTAACCTCGACAAGCTCCTAAGTGCTCTACTAGACAGACTAGTCGGTACAAAACAATATGCCCCGTAAAACGAGGACGCAACACGAATCGCATACTTGGGCCAAACGGGAAGAGGCGTAAACGATAGGGCACATGCATGAGCACGCGTTATGTGTAAAGAATTTCCGGTCGGACAACTTGGCTATTTTTACACGCCCAGAAAGAGGCGTAAACGATAGGGCACATGCATGAGCACGCGTTATGTGTAAAGAATTTCCGGTCGGACAACTTGGCTATTTTTACACGCCCAGAAACCCCGACTGTAAAAGAAAAAAATATTAAAAAAATGAAGAAAATCCAAGTTCCTGGGACGTTAAAAAGCGAATGGTCGCAGGAAATGTACGAATCATGCAACATTAGATTGCGGGGAAGAGCAAATACATAAGTGCAGGTCAGTTTACGTATCCGATGAGAAATATAAATTTCTACTCGACAACCCGGTAGTATTTATAAATTGTCTTCGATAAACGTTCAGTTGAATGCAGCCCTTCGTGTTGCGTCCCTTTATTTACGTCTCACGGCGCATATTGTTTGAAAACGCACTTGCTCGCCTCCAGTAGAAAGCTTCTGGCGGGATTTCCATTCGACGAGGGTGATTCAAAAAGTAAGCTAACAAGACTTTTTACGGGTGCCATATTCCTCCTAGTGTTCGAATTTCCCGCCAGGGTCCCGGACGAAGACCACAGCTTTAGCAAACAGCCGTTAGGTGGCACGTATGTTGCGTCAGACCCTCGCAATACCAGTTTCTAGCAGTGTGCCACTTCTACTCATATATCATCAGATCTACCGATTTTCTTAGATTTCTACCGATTCAGGGATAAAACCTAAAATCTGCAGATTGTTGGTTGTTTGTGGCTCAATATTGACAAAATCTCCGGCAATTACCCTGCCAAAATTGGCGTAAGGACAAATTTGGGCCTTAACCAACAAAAAATAAAATTCAAATCAATGGGTCACTTCATCAACGTTTAGGGGGCGGGGAGAACAAAATACGGCTGTCCACTGTTGCCAGGAGGTCACCACGCAGTCAGCATATTTTAAAAAATCCTTTCGTGTTCTTTTTGAACCTACACATACGTAGTCTTTTTTTTTTTAGATTGTTCAGAACAGAATTTCATGTTCCGGCTTTTTTTAGATTTTATGTTCCTTATTCTTACATATGTTCCAACTGATCTGTCATTGCTTGTTATCCATGGTTTAACAACTTCAAACTTTTACCAACTTTAGAGTCTTTTGTTTTTCTTAGAAAACCTATTTCGCCATGTCTGTACATAGCTTGCACGTGACGTCATGCAAAGAGCGCTCCGATGACCCCCAGAGAAGAGAGGAAGAAGGAGCTCCTCTCTTATTAAGATTTTCTATTTGTGCCTTCCGGAGTTGCTGAGACGCTATTCTCCTCCCATAAGATTATAGAAGTTTAACCCGTCCCTCAAAATTCTTACAAAAGCAGCTTCCCTCTCCTCCTCCTACATGGTGGTCCAATGTATGCGATTTGACGTCAGTGCAAGCCATGTATACTCCGTGTCACTAGTTGCGTGCAGTACAGGCGGAGGCAACGCCTGACGAGGGAAGGAAAGGCAAGCACTAGGAAGGCTGAGGAAAAGGAGAGAAACCCCCTCTCTTCTCTGACGTTCCTAGTGCTTTGCCTTTCTTCCCTCGCCATCCATTGCCCTCCTCTCCCGGAAGAAACGAAGATAAAGAAAAAGAGACAACATAAGACGGTCGCTGTGTTGTCCCCTTTCTTGCTTTCGTTTGTTTTCTTGTCTCGGGGTTTATAAGTAAAGAGACCCGTTCATACACTTGCAACCGAGTAGGACCGAGAAAGACTTCTTGAGACCGGATGCGCTGAGCGGAGCTGGTCCTAAGAGATCGCAAGAGGCTTAAAAACCGGTTTGGTCTCTCTCGGTCGTACTCGGTTGCAAGAGTGTGAACGGGCCTTAAAGAGACCCGTTCATACACTTGCAACCGAGTAGGACCGACTGAGACAAGACCGGTTTTTAAGCCTCTTGTGACGGTTTAGGATTGGATACGCTGCTATGGAGCAGGCCCTAAGCCGTCGCAAGGGGTTTAAAAACCGGTCTTATGTCAGCCTGAGCGGCTGACATAAGACTTGGCTACTTGGTTGCAAGTGTGTGAACGGGCCTTTAGTATGATTGTTGACCAGCTAGCCTGCGCCCCTTATTTCAGTTGCTTACTGTTTGATTAACCCTCGTAGATGCTGTTCCGTTTACTCCATACCTTAAGAAACCGTGGAGATCTCATCTTATTATCGCTTCAAAGCCAATCAAACCGTGGCATTAGCTGAACGCGCAAAAGAGATTTCACGTAGAGCATTGACGCCGTCTGCTCAAGGACATGTAGGATACTTCCTAAGGCCCAAACCAGTCGTGTACACGTTACTAAAAAAAAGTGATCGATTGCAATTACTATTACTCTTGGCTAAAAAGTATTCGATTAGATTACTTGATTACTCGACGGCAAAAGTAATTGGACATTACTTAAGGAAGTAATCGTTACTTTTTCCGATTACTTTATTGTGTGAAGACACATCTTTAGCGCTCATAACAATGAACTACTTCCAACCTATATTTCACATTTGCACAAGTATTGAAGAAGAAAAACTGGCTCCCTCTTCGTGGTCGTTGCACCTTCACAGTGCGGACACAAGCATAGAATTCGTTTGAAGATGTTTAATGATTTGGGCGTTTGCGAGTGTGTGTGTGTGTGTGTAGGGGGGGGGGGGAGCGGAGGGGGTTCTAGATCTTGTTAAGCTTGAGCAAGGGTTGTCGCTCAAAGTTTGCGTCGCTCATTTTATTATTCGCATGTGGATGAGCTCGCATGTTATACAAAAGAGCAGCAGCTTCAGGGTTTGAAACGGATCATGTGTAGTATCCATTAGCGGAAGAGATCGCCCCGACCACTTCTCAACTCGAAACATTGCTTGTCACAAAGACCACGTAGGGGAAATGGGGAAATATTTCAACTGGCTTTGTTATATTTTGCATCCGCTTTAGGCATTCTTCGGTTCTGGTTCTCCTACGGGATGCGAGTAGGCGCCGTAAGCAGGATTTTTTTTTTATTTTTTTTATTTCTGTGTGTGTGTGTGAGGGGGCTAGTTTGAACGAAGGACTCACAAAGCTACATTCTGCTTCCTCAAACTTCGCCCTGAATGGCCTTTGTCACGCACTGGGGCTTCCCTGGGGCTTCCCACCCCCAGTCCCAGCTCGAAAAAAAAAAGAAAAACGGACATTTCACAGAAATTGTACATAGAAAGAGATTGACCTCGTTTCCTACAGCTCCGTAAAAATCTTTCTTTTTTCCATTCTAAAAAAAAAAGCAAATTTTATTTTTGTCATTTCAGAAAAAAAAGGCGTGTGCTGAGGGGGGGTGTCCCGTGGACAAATTGTAATGGTTACAAGTAATTTTATTACTTCAAAAAGTAATCAGATTACTCTTGTGATCACTGCCTAACAAAAGTAATCAACTGATTACAAAATTACTCCAAAAAGTAATCGATTACAAGCAATTTGATTACTTGTAATGCGTACGGTACAAGTCTTGCCCAAACTAAAGCACACAACCCAATAAGTCAGAACTGTAGCATATAAGACATACATAAGGCCCATCTTAGGATGTAGTAGAGTTGTGTGCGACCCTTGTAGGGTAGAAAAACGTTGATAAATTAAAAGAAAAAGCTGCAAGGACAAGCTGTTCGCCTTATTCACTCGAACTACAGGATGATAGCATCTCCTGCAAAAATGTTCCTCTCGAGCAATTTACAAACACTGCAGACAAGTCAACAAAAAGAACGCCTAGTTTTTTTTTTGTTTTTTATTATTATTATTAACGGCAAGTTTAATTTGAGCTCAAATACACATATTCACCCCGCAAGTATGAAAGGGTCGGGCAGAATAAACCACTCCAAAAGAATCCAGACATTCAATAGTCGAATAGGTACCTTCGAGCGATCATTTTTTGTAGAACGACCGAGGCCTGGAACTGACTGCGAAACATAATTGTGAATATAGAAACTGTGTCATCCTTTGAGCATTCCATTACTCAGCTGTTGGCCTAATCGAGTCACAAGCTTGTACTGCGTGAGTGTGTTCATTGACAACTGTTTCCAGAATTGTCGCATGTATTTTGCAGCACTTCCTGTAATGGCCCTCAAGAGAGGGCTGCCAGTGTTTTCCAATAAATATTTTTTTTTTTTAAATCCCGAATTCAGAAGCGTGAACACCAGAAGCCATGGAGTCAGAGACATTCTTAGAGGCTTCGGGAGCTCTTCGAGTCGCCCCCCGATGAATCTTTGTGAAATGTCGCCAGCCATACGGTTAATTGGTGCTCAGCACCACCAGTGACTTAGGCGTCGCAGAAAAGTTCTTGTCCACCGACCAGCCCTCGTACGTTGTAATATCGAATTTTATTGTTTACGTAATTTCGGATATCAGCTCAGAAATGGCCCGGTTATGAGTAATTTACTCACCTGGGCATCGGAGGCCGATGCAGAGCAGCGTCCGAAGTCGCCCATGGACTCGCCCATCCATTTCTCGATCAGTCCGGCTTCGTTTAAGCTTCGAATCCTGCCAAAGACACTCAACTGAATTTCTTGCGGTCTTAGCACCAATCGCGTGTGTCTTGCATGTTTCCTCGTTTTCGTTTTGTTTTGCGCCCTAAGTCAAATGTTCCCCAACCTATAAATGTTGTTTTTATGCGTTAGTTGATTATTCACCCTTACGGGTCTTCATGACTTTCGTTTCTCTATGCATTCTCCCGAGGGTAGGATATATAGATAAAAATGAATGAATTAAGATTTCCATATGAACACAGCAAGCGGTGAGCCGTCTGCGCTCTTATTTCCCAGGTACCTTTCGTATACTTCGAGCAAAAGGCTTCCATGGGTGCTTGGTCCTGTCCCAGACAGCTTAGAAATTCCGTGTTCACGTTTCTAGGAGCTGACCATTTTCTGCGCCAGTGACTACAGGCTACCAGCCGTCGGCCCGACCTTGCAACGACCGCATATTTTAATTTCTAGAGCGCAGCTCTTAAGCGCCCGTTTCCGGTTTGAGTGGCGTCGGCGTAACCGCGCGGTGCATTATGGGACGCGTGACGTCACTAATGAGGTAATCAGTGACGTCATCGGCATCGGTATCGTCACTGATGACGGGTGTGCGACGTATGCAACCGCGAAAGGGAAACTATAGAACATGTAATTTTAAGGTTCACGGGGCTTCGTCCCACCCTCTTGGGGGGGGGGGGGGGGGGGGGGGGGGATGACTACGGATTTGGAGGGGGCACTGGGTTTTCCGGACATGGATGGACGAATGGATGGGGAAAGAATTGCGGTAACTGAGAGAGAGAGAGAATAAACATCTTTATTATGAGAAAGCGATGGGGAGGAGTCCTTAGTCCAAGACGCCTTGAGCCTTCCCTGCTTCCACAGCCCTCGACACGAGCATGAGCTGGTCATCGAGGTTGGAGCTGGTCAGTGCTCTCTCCCAAAGCTCGTATGACGACTGGAAGGGGTTAGACGATTGGGTGGGATTTTGGTCGCATCCTCCTACCATATGAAAGAGGGTCCCAGGAGCTCCGCAAAAGCGGCATAATGGGGAATAGAGGGTAGGGAAAAAGATATGGCATTTAGTGGGATGAGGGAAGGTGTTAGTTTGTAGGGCACGGTGATGTCGTTCCTGCTCTTTCGATAGTTGTTTATGGGGGGGGTGGGTAGGTACGTCGCTCCAAGCTATAGTGCTGCGTGATCTCTTGATATGTTACCAATGGGACCGGCCGCTCCTGCTCGTCTCCCAGGGCCCGGCGGGATAACTCTCGGGCCAAGAGGTGGGCGGTTGCATTGCCTGGTACAGAGGAGTGGGCGGATGTCCATATGACAGTGATGAGTCTATCCGGCGGGTGTTGGGAGATAATCCGTTCTGTTGTACGGTGAATTCTTCCTCTGGAGAAATTACGGCACGCGTGCTGCGAGTCTGTAATGATGACTTCGGCTGTAGTTTGCGCGATGGCAAGAGCAATGGCCGCCTCTTCCGCTTGTAAGGGTTCGTATCTTGGTAGTGTGATGCTGCTGACATGGTGATCTTGTTGGACGACGACGGCTGCCATGGCTCTTATGCCGGGATAAGAGGCTGCGTCCGTGTATGCGGTGGTTGGTTCGTGGCCATAGCGTTTGTATATGGCTTGGGCTCTCGCCTCCCTTCGTCCCGCGTGATGCACGGGGTGCATGTTGCGGGGGAGCGGTGAAATGGAGAGGTGTCTCCGGACCTCGTGAGAGAGAGTCGAGGTTTCAGAAGGAGGATGCTGCAGAGGGGTTGTGAGTCGCAGATTGGAAGATTGGTGGAAGAGATCTAGGGAAGGATAAAAAAAAAGTAAAAGCCGTTTACAAATCCCTGTAATGCCGAATTGGAGCGCAGCTCTTGAGGAGGAGGAGCGAAGGGTACTGAGGGGAGGGTAGACCCCTCCCCCTTCTCCTCCTCCTCCCCTCATTCTTTAATATGCTCCGGGGGGGGTGTCACGTGGCTTCGGGGAGGGGGTCACGTGACCTCGGGGAGGCGTGACCTGGGGGTGACCTCAAGGCCACGTGACCCCAAAGGTGACCCCCACGTGACCTTGGGGTCACGTGACCTGGAGGGGTCACGTGACCTCGGGGGGTCACGTGACCTCAGAGGGGTCACGTGACCTGGGGGTCACGTGACCTTGAGATGACCTTGGAAGGGGTCACGTGACCTTGGGGGTCACGTGACCTCGGGGGTCACGTGACCTTGGGGAGGCGACCACGTGACCTCGGGGGTCACGTGACCTCAGAGGGGTCACGTGACCTCAGAGGGGTCACGTGACTTGGGGGTCACGTGACCTTCAAAGGGTCACGTGGGGTCATCTTGGGGTCACGTGACCTTGAGATAACCTTGGAAGGGGTCACGTGACCTCGAGGGGTCACGTGACCTTCAGGGGGTCACGTGGGGTCACGTGACCTTGAGATGACCTTGGGAGGGGTCACGTGACCTTGGGGGTCACGTGACCTTGGGATGACCTTGGTTACGCCGACGCCGACGCCGACGGCGACGGCGACGCCGACGCCGACGGCGACGCCGCTCAAGCCGGGAACGGGCCCCTAAGAGCTGCGCTCTAAAATGCAGATAAAAATAAGCAATGAATTGAATTTAAAAGAGAGAGGGGGGGTCTGTCATAACAAAATTCATACAAATTTTAAAAAAAGAAGGGATGACGAAATGTTAGGCTAGGTGGCGCAAGCTTCCGCCCGTTAGAAAGGGTATAGCCATTACCATCCATCCATCCATCCATCCATCCGTCCGTCATCAGTGACGTCACTGATGACGTCATCGGCATCCGCATCGTCATCGTCCCTGATGACGTCATCAGTGACGTCACTGATGACGTCATCGGCATCCGCATCGTCATCGGCATCGCAACTGATGCCGTCACCGGGGTCACGTGACCCCGTTAACGTCACGTGACCCTGTGACGTCACGTCTCCCCCGTGAGCTCACGTGACCCTCGTGAGGCGACGGCGACGGTATGGCGACGAGAACTCCACCACCAGACCTGTTACGATCTTTCCTGTAGACTTTAAACCGTGTCAGGTCGACGAGCTGGCTGTCGTAAATGAAGTTGTCCAGCCAAGTCTCACACAAGGCGAATATGGTGTTGGGGCGGGACTCAGTGAGCACCCGGAACTCCAGCATTTTGTTCTTCACGGACCTGAGGTTGGAGAACCAGAAGGAGGTTGTTTTCCTTGTTTCCGTGGTACCGGGAGCCGTTGGTCTGTCCCCGGCTGTGGTAGGTGATGCGATCGTCGTTAGTGCAGGCTGCTTCGGCGCTTCGAAGAGGCTGTCGTCGAACGATGGCAGCTGGCACACGCCGCAGTACCATGGTTCTGTGCAGTTCGACAGACGCCGATAGGTAGGCAGTGAGAGCTGCTCACATTTTCTGTGGACCCAGATGTTGCACCCGTCGCATTGTAACGCCGCCACGCTGTCGTAGAGCGGCTTGCAGCAGCGAGGACAAGTAGGACACGGTCCCGGGTTGAGCGGTACATCGCCAGCACAGAGCAGAATCAAGCACACATGAGGTTGAAGGACGGAGGTCGGGCGGCAGTACGTCCGGTTTTTCGCCGGTGACGGGTTCGGGCCGAAGCGGGTAGGCTTAGCAAATCCGCGAGTGAGTGCCGCCGCTGTGCTCCACTCCAGACGATCGAAATATGCTTGACGATGGTCATGTTGCGTCGCGAGGTGTTTGCGTGGAAAGAGCGCCGCAGGCGAAGAGTACCTAAGCGTTGAGAGCGCAAACCAAAGCATAAACAAGCGCACGCACTTCAAAACGTGACCGTTCGTCATGGCGCCCAGTGAAGGTTATGCGCGTTTCCTGGCTATACTCCGCGACAACTTTTCTTGGCAATGCAGTGGAAGGTACGTCCCTCGTCCCCTCTCCCATTTTGAGTGTACGCAGGCTCTCCTCCTCTCCTCGGAAATGGGGGAGGAGGAGAGCCTGCGTACACTCAAAATAAGAGAGGGGACGAGGGACGTACCTTCCACTGCATTGCCAAGAAAAGTTGTCGCGGAGTATAGCAGACGTACCTACTTCACCGTCTATATCTACACCGGAGGCACTAGACGCCCACTGATGAGCTTCCCGCACTTGAAGTATGCACACGACAGGATTTCAGAGTGCGATGCGAGACACTCGACAGGCACTCAACGGGAGCGGCCTACTTTGTGCTGATGTTGCTCTTGATGCCAGAGTCGAGGCCCTTCCGCATGGTCATGCTGAGTCCCTGGTTCAGCACGGGCCGGCGGGCGAAGTAGAACTGTCCCTGAGGCATGCTTTTGCACACTCTGGCCACGTTGTACACCATGGACGGCTGCTCGTTGATGATCACCGCTCGACCAGCGAGCACTTGACGCAGCGTCTCCCTGCGGACGTTAACATCCGCCTTGGATCTCTGGAGAGCCCACCGTATGCCCACCTTTAATGACCCACGAAGCATTTAATGCCGTACACAGTATCTAGATCTTCTCATTCCTGCTGCCAACGTTACTAAAACACTCAGTTGGGAAACTCCCATAGACACAGCTTTGAAAAAATGGCCCCAATCTGTCTCCGAGCACAGAGCTAATGACGAACACAACGCCACCATTTCTCCCGCAGCGGCCACTCGAAGAACTGCACGTGACTTGTATTTTGGCTTTAAGAACAGAAAGAGCGGTAGAGGTTACAGAAGTGCCACCCCCGTCTCCCCGGCGGACGCGCCGCGTTCAACCACTGAAGTTAAAATGCACCTAGGGCGGGACGCGCTACCTGAAAGGCCCGCTGAGGCATGGTTGTATGAAAACAATATTAATTGTTCCGCAAAACCCTGCGAACTAAAGATGATAAAAAAATCACGCGCCCATCATTTGGTACTAAACTCCAATAAATTTCATACAAAAAGAGTCTTTTCCGTTTGTTTTTATGCAAAAACAGGCTTTCAAAAAGCTCGAGGTGACCCCAGTACAGACAAATGATAAAGAGTGGCGCTGTTGTCGCATTTAGCTCGGTCTCGGTGGACGCCAGCGGCCCAGGTTTCGACGGCGAGTTTCCCAACTGAGTGTTTTAGTAACGTTGCCTGCTGCGGAACTTTGTCCACTTCCGGTGTGCCAGTGTTATTTTTTTTTTCGGCTTTGCAAATTTGTTTAAGAAAGGCCGCGAAAGCTACACTACTGCGTTTTGTGCAGGTGGGTTATACGGCCATTGGGCATAATACATAATGTTAATCGTCACGATAACTAAAATATGTTAATTAAAGTTTTAATTATTGCAAATAAACACATGGTTGTAATATACCATATTGGAAATAGGCAACGCCTCCCATCATCATTGCAACAGACTAGGGCCACCCGACGTACGGCGCGTGAAGGAAAATATAAGGATCGGTTCATGTTACAATTTCAGAACGGAGAGGAAGCAGGATGATAACAAAAACGGATCAGTTTTGTGACCTCGTGTTCTGAACTGGGAGTGATAAGTGTGAGGGAATCTTGCAGGATGCACGGAGCATACGAGTCTCCGCTAGCGGACGACCTCACAATTCCACGCGAGGTGTAATATGGGATGGACGAGAGGCTATACGTTAACTTTACAGGTGCGGTTTCAGTTAGAAACATGATGCGAGTCATCCAGAAATTCTAAACCCATATTATAATGCTATAACTTATTGTGTGTTTTCGGAGTTTATTTGCCGTGAAATTTGGAGACGTTTTTCGGAGTTTGTTTATCGCTCACAATTTGGATTTTATTTGAGTTAATTTTGTTACATTCCCAATTTTCCAAAATTCGGAGTTTCATTTTACTCCGTTATTATTATTTTTTGTGATAAAAATGAATAGTATTCGGATAAAATAGCACACTAAATCCGTAACAAGAATCACTGGTATCGAAATGTATTTCTGCAGCTGCATTTGACGTTGCCGCCCTTCCGATTGGCAGCACTCACTGTCCCACGTCGAGTCTCGAAAACAAGCGTTACTTCAAGAAACGTCGGAAGTTTCATAGAGCCCAACGCCTGGACGCATAAAACCTTCAGCTTCAGCCCTCCCGATCTCATGAAATCAACAGGTTCGCATCTTTCACTGTTCTGAAAACAGAACCCCTCCTCCCTCCAAGAAGCACGAATAGTAGGGTTCAAACTGGAATCCGAAACAGTGGCTTTATGTCGTTGACCGTGTTCCCGATCCCATGAAATCAACAGGTTCGCATCTTTCACTGTTCTGAAAACAGAACCCCTCCTCCCTCCAAGAAGCACGAATAGTAGGGTTCAAACTGGAATCCGAAACAGTGGCTTTATGTCGTTGACCGTGTTCCCGATCCCATGAAATCAACAGGTTCGCATCTTTCACTGTTCTGAAAACAGAACCCCTCCTCCCTCCAAGAAGCACGAATAGTAGGGTTCAAACTGGAATCCGAAACAGTGGCTTTATGCCGTTGACCGTGTTCCAGAAGTACATTGGCTCCTATCGTAATGAACGAACCTTGACGAGATAAATGGAAAACTCCTTTTTATCAATATAATCTAAGATTAAAAAAAAAAAAACGAATTGAGCTTTTTTCGGGACCACTAGCCTTGAGCTCGGACGAATATTCTTTGTAAAATACCGTCCTTTTTTGGCATTTTATAGTGCGATCGTGACTTTGAAATTGGGGACTTTTCGGATAAATACGTATTGCCGAAAATTTTACCGGCTGGTGTTATTCGGAGTTTATGGGCTTTATCCGAAAACAAGGAACCCTAGATATAAAACGCGCGCAGCATTTTACGGCGTTCGGAGGAACTGCCTAATTTCGACGCGTTTCTAGGTTTCGATTTCTTATCGAAGCGGATCTCCTGATCCGGCAGCCCGGTGGCTTTCTTATCTCTTCTACGTGCGATGCGTGGTATCGGATCGCACGGGCGGGCTATTTCTTGCGCAGAGATGCGCTCCGATAAGAAACCGAAAACTAGAAACGCGTCTATTGTAATATGGCTGGATTTAGTAGGTTTGAATGACTCGCACCATGTTTCCAACTGAAACCGTGCCTTTAAAGTGAATCATTAGACGTTTTAATTTCACAAAATAATGAATTCCCTAATGAACGCTAAGAATTTTCCTCGACGGGCCCTTTGGCACAGAGCACTACGCCGTCAACCTTTTTTACTGCACGATGCGCAGCTTTCGCCAGAGCCATTTGGCTCGCGCGGCGTTTCCGAAAACAACCTGCATATATTTGTTATCCCTAAATTTACGGAAGCATTATTGCGAATATTAAAAAAAAATGTGGATATATCAAGAAGCGTATCTTCTTGCTTAGTAGAGAAATGGAGGACACACCGCGGGTAGGGGCTCACGTATGGCTCGTGCATGGCTTTGCTCTCCCGGGAATGAGGTTCAGCTTCGTACATGGCCCTTTTCTAGTACCGAAAAGAAACTCACGCTGAATACAGCTGGCTGCCGGGTCGACTTCCGTTGTTCTGCACAACCTTGCGGTACACGGACCGGTATACTTCCAGGGAGGCTGTCTGCGTCAAACACATTCAGATCAAAAGAAGTCATGCCGGAAAGCCATTTAAAAAACGTGTTTTCAACGTTGGGCGCATCTGAAATTTCATTTAGTACGAGGTCCCTTTGTTTTTACAGCACGTCTCGAGCGACTTGATTGACGAAAGTGACACGGTCCTTGTAATTGGTGCTCCAAAAGAAGACTTGAGGTTTTTAAGCACCAAGGAGCATTCTGGGTATGTTATTACACGTGCTGCACTTTCCGGCATTTGAGGCAATAATTTTGATATGTACACTTTCAGCACGCTTAATACCACATAGCGCAACCTTTTTCATTGTACAATAGGGCGTTGCTTGGGAGAAGAGCGTGTTGGTTTAAGTCATGGATGAAAAAAGAATAAAACAATTAAAACGTGGACAACACAACCTCGTCTGCGGTTGTGTTGTCCCTGTTTTAATTGTTTTATTCTTTCTTCATCCATGATAGGGCGTTGTTGCGTTGAACACCCTTTATGTTTGAGGACTGTAAAAAGGTATTTTTTTAAAGGCGGAGTGAGTCTAGAGCACTTTTTTAAGAGTGTTTGCCACACTGACACCCGCATTGGCGAAGTTATTTTAGTGACAATAACTCTTGCCTCTAACATTGCTTTTTACTTTAGGATACATTCCTTGAACTCAGATACATTACGCGAAATGTTGAAGAGGACCAAGCAACCATCGTCGTAATTGCGCGGCCTGAATTGGCGAGGGTATAAGGAGGTGGACCAGGGTCATGATTCCTCTCTCGTGCCTGATCCGTCTGTGTTTGCTGTTTCTGTGTACCTAAGCACTGCATGTGGTGCATGTTGTTGGGAAACTCAGTGCAGGAACCCTATTTTTCGAACGTTCTCCAGAATCCCAAAGGTATTATCCGTGGGAAAAAAACTGATTTAAGGGTGTAAAACTTTTTAGCGTGTAGGGGGTCGGAAGCGGACCTTCCGGTGTAAAACGAGCCGAAAAAAGCCACACCTGCACAAAAGAAGCTGAGACTTTCACGGAATATTCACTGAACAGGTCAATTTTACAGTGTGAAACGGCAAGGCAGTCTTCTTTCTTTGAGCTGCTCGCTGCACCGATTGGCAGATGGCGCCACAAATAATAGCGTCGGTAACTCGGCCGTCTGCGAACGCGCCGAACCTTGACTTTGGGAAATTGTCTGCTCTCGTATTTTACAGGAAGAGAACTGCGCCTTGAAATTCCACACGGCAAAACTAACCTGCTCAGTGGCCATTCGGTGAAAGTTCGAGCTTTCTATGTGCAGGTGGCAATTTTTCCGGCCCGCTTTACAGCGGAAGGTCCGCTTCGGAGGGTGTTTCCGGAAGCGCTGGCAAAATCGCTCCTGCGAAAAGTACGTACCGCACAGCCAAAAGGTGACCTGCTCTGAAGGAACAACTTATCCCTGGTGCGCTCTCCGAGACAGGGCTTTGCGGCAGCAGGTGCTCGCGCTTATCGTCCAGGACTATCCCAACTTTAAGTCCGGCCTGTCTCGTATATATACGAGGGCGGTCCGATAAGTACTTAGCCTCACCACCTAATGGCGCCACTATCGGAAGAGGAATGTACTATCGTGTAGTACGTTCTCGCAGACAGCTACTATCGAAATTTCAACCAGATCGGACTCATAGCTTTGTTTTGACCGCATGTGGAAGCGGGCGTGTCCGTAAATTTTAGAAAAATGAAAAAAGAGCCATATCGGTCGGTGATTAGATTCTTGTTTTTGGAAGGGAAATCGTGGAGTGAAATCAAAGAGCGCTTGCATGCTTTGTACAGTGGGTCTTCTCCTTCGATGGCGACCGTCAAAAATTGGTTTAACAAGTTTTAACATGGTCGCACGTCGGTTTTTGAACAGACACACCCAGGTGCACTGAAAACGGCTACCAGGGAGGATAATGTGACAAAAATCCACAATCTCCTATTGGTAGACCGCCGATTGAAGGTGCGTGAGATAGCTGAGACAGTAGGCATCTCAGAAAACCGCGTGGGTTATATCCTGCATGAAAGTTTGGGCATGAGAAAGTTGTCGGCGAGATGGGTGCCGCGTTTGCTCACTCCGGACAACAAGAGCAACCGTGAGACCACTTCAGAGCAGTGTTTGACGCTGTTTAAGCGCAATCCGAAGAAGTTTCTGCGTCGTTTCGTGACCGTCGACGAAACATGGAATCACTGGTACGCACCAGAGACCAAAAAACAGGCGCAACAGTGGACTTCACCCGGCGAACGTGCTCCGAAGAAGGCGAAGACTGTCCTATCGACCGGAAAGGCGATGGCCACCGTTTTTCGGATTCACAAGGTATGATCTACATCAACTACCTGAAGAAGGGCAAAACGGTCACAAGGCTGTAGTATGCCGAATTATTGGGCCGATTCGACACCGAATTACAGAAAAAACGGGTCCATTTGGCGAAGAACAAAGTTCTCTCCCATCATGACAACGCACCGGCTCACACCCCCGCCCTTGCCACGGCCAAATTGGTCGAATAGGGCTACGAACTGCTGCCCCATCCACCGCATTCCCAAGATTTGGCCCCGTGCGACTTCTTTTTGTTTCCAAAATTGAAAAGATTACTCGCCGGGAAGAAATTTGAGTCGAATGAGGATGTCATCGCCGCCACGGAAGACTTGTTTGCAGACCTCGAGAAAACCTATTTTTCAGGTGGGTTAAAAAAGTTGGAGCATCGCTGGGTCAAGTGTATCGAACTAAAAGGAGACTATATTGAAAAATAAATCGCCGCTTTACCAAAACTGTTTGTTTTTCTTTTCTAGGCTAAGTACTTATCGGACCACCCTCGTACATACGGAACAGGCTGTTGCGTAGGACAACGAAATGTGTATAAGAGAGTAAACGTACTTCGAAGCTTCTAGTGGAGGTTTATCCCACCTTGGTCGACATTTCGGCCTGAGTCAGGTCTGAGTCAGGACTGGTTACACAACATTGCTCGTCGTCGGGACTCGAGACCCGCGAGTCCGGTCACGTGTCACGTGGCGTTCATAACCCTCTTAAAGCAGAATAACAGGTGGCCACTTATTTTGGGTGGGAGGTCAGGAGCAAGCGGCACGCAGCTAAACTCGCCACACTAAGCAGGTGAAGGGTGATAAAAGCAATTAAAAGTTGAATAAACTGCTGGAATAAATATCTCGATATTATTAACTATCGATAACAATTTGAAGCACAAGAAATTACGGGTTAAAATAGAGTAAGTATAAAGCAAAAAAGGAATACAATTCTAGTGGGCTTGCGTCGACGTTTCGGCAGTAGCACTGCTAGAGTGCATTGCGCATAACGGCATTCTTCCGTTCCAGAGTTCCTGTGGAGTGAACTTGGAACATTGTCCGGAGCTTTTGACATTTTACTTATACGACAGATTTGTTTCTCTTGAAGGGGATCTCTTTCTGCATAAGAGGGGCGTCTGCATCGGCTCTTGTGTAGCGCCTGTTTTGTGCAATGTTTTCTTAGCGACTGCGGAAGACCCATTTTCGAGGAACTGCGGGACTCGAACAGCTTCAAGTTCTTCAGATATGCGTGAAGAATGTTCTCATTCTGTCTAAACAAGCTGACACCCTAACCAGTGACGTGAAGGAGGTCTTGGAGGTGTTCGGGTCATGTTGTAGTGGCTTCAAATTCACGCATGAGAAGCCAAGCGAAGGACCATCGTAGTTCCTGGACCTCAGGTTAGCTCTACAGAAGGGCCGAATTTGCACATGTGCGAGCCACGTTCAAAGAAAAGTATACTTCCGTTTAACTTGATTCATTCAAAACAAGTAAAACAGAATTGCCTCAATGTTTCTAGGGGCCGTTCTCAAGATGTCTTGCAGGCACAGTGCCCAAGAACGTTTCGATAAGCAGGTAGCGCGGTTGGAGAGAGCGGATTTCTCTAAAGGCACTCTGGTTGACGTGGCGGAAAGCCTGGTAAAGAACATTGAAGGGATACAGAGGCGACCCCGCGACAGGGAAAGGGAAAGAGAGCTGGCGAAAAATTGGGCCAGGAGCGGAAATTGAACCCGCTCCTGGCTCTTTCCCTTTCTCTAACTTTAATGCAATAAATTCAATAATCACCTTCTCCCCTCTTCGTTCACAATTTTACTACGGCTGCACTTGTCAATCTTCACTCATTCCCATTATATATACGGTGCAGCATGTCCCTATGGGGAGGAGTGGTTCCCTAGATATTTTGGAAGACGGGCCCTTTCCGGACATTTGCAAGCTGAGATGACGTGCCACGTCACTGCCGCATGTCGGAAATAGCGCGGGCCTTAAATCAGCAACGGTTGTCGTCTACCAAGTTAAGGGAATTCGAAACTAAACAGTACAAGAGACCTGGTCGGAAATTGAGTCCGCCGAAACCAGCGGCCGGGATGGTCTAATCGGTTAAGGCGTCGCCCCGGACAGGCGAAGGTTGCGGGTTCAATCCCCGCTCCTGGCCCAATTTTTCGCCAGCTCTCTTTCCCTTTATCTAACTTTAATGCAATAAATTCAATAATCACCTTCTCCCCTCTTCGTTCACAATATATGTATAATCTTCCTTTTTATAGTTATTTACTTTGAATCTTTTTTTACGGACAAGGCACTGGCAGCACGCAGGGGTGGTTTTATGGGTCAAGCTTGAGAGAGAGAGGGGGAGGGGCATTTGACTGAGGGGATCTGCAGAGATATCTCAAGTCACGGGCCGACCGTTGCATGAATCTATTTTGTTGCCCTAATATGTAGCACGTAAGCAAAAACTAAACATTTCTTCCTAAACTAGACTGATGTATGTTTTGTTTTTTTAATAAAAAGTTACTCTTAGAATAACGATAAAAATCCCCGGAGAAGGAAAACAAAGAGGACAAAGGACAAACCATAACCTTCTCTATACTGACAAAGCCTGGCAGATCGTCACGTGACGCGGCAGCCGAAAGCGAAAAGGTAGAGCGGCAGACAAGATCCACGTAGCGGGCGCCTTGCGGCGGCGAGACGCCGAAACACACTTGTCCCGAGCGATGGAATGTCGATCCTCTCGTGCTTCTCGCGTTCCTCGGGCTGCCGCTTCTTTTCTCGTCGGGTTTGAAAACCATGTTTCGGGTCCTCGCCGCTGCAAAAGCTGTGCACTGAATACCGGACTCCGAGAAATTCTCTGTGCTACCAGATCCTCGAGCTCCAAATCTGCGTCCGGGCACTCTATGGCTCCGTCGTCGAACTGCCAGGCTTTTTGAGTATAGAGGAGACTATGGACAAACACAAACCTCCAAACACAGCTAGGGGCTCGGTGCAGGACTAAAAAAAAAAAAAATTGCGGTGGCTTATCTCGACTACGCCAGGATATACGTAGCGTGAGCTTATGCGCACAAAATGAGAGGAGCTATCAAGCGGCTCCGGTGCAGCGTCAGACTTGGCTACTGCGCAACGGAGGCGCACAGCTGGGCACGCGGCGGCGCCAGTGCGTCTGCCGCGGCTATGACGTCACTCCTCTGGAATGCGCAGACCGGTGAGCTAGGCGAGTGGGGCGGCGGCGGAGCGCGCGGCGGCGGCGGCTCCGGCGCGCCAGCTGTACGCCGTGTGACGTCACTGCTCCTCGCGCATGCGCAGCATGGAGCACGGCTCATTACGCGAGCCACGTGAAACTGCTGAACCTCGGCCAGCGTAGCTCACGCTACAAAATCCGCCTGGTCCTGGCCAGTCGCGCACCAGTCCCCTAGATGCGTTTGGAGATTTGGCGTGTGGAACGGTTGTTGCGCGTACCCTGAAGAGGCTCTCGTAGGCGGTCCCTTTCCAGAGGACCGGCGTGAGGTGGGGCTTGGCGGCCACGTCTGCGATGCTGTCCACCCTTTCGCCCTCCGTGCGGACCATGAGGTTGGCCTTCATGTTGCCCGTCAGGGCCGTGAGCAGGATCACGTTCGCCATCCACCAGAAGGCGATCACGATGCGGGCAGAGCTGTGCCGGGTGTCCTTCAGTTGGGTGGACGCTGGGGAAGGGACACCTTTTAGCCCGCGCTACAGGCAGGCTCCAGACACCATCCTATGCTACGAATATGTCCGCAGGCAGTTTTTGCATGACCAACGCGACAATGAAGGCATTAGACAGTGACTGCAGCGTGTCGTTTGTACGTTGGATTTCTAGTGGCTAACAAGACTCGTTGCCGGGGGACTGAAACGTGTCAGCGCCAACAGAGGCACGAAAGGGTCGCACATCTGTCCTTGTCCTCGTCTCGTGCTTACAGGTCTTCTGAGTCGCGGAACTCGAGTCGTGACGGTCGCGTTTCGCCAGCGGTACGCCACAATCCCCGTAGAAGTTCCCGGTATATGTTCCACTATGGATATACGTACAGTTTTTCAATATTTCTAATATTATCGCAAGAGCGTCGGCCGGCGGGCCCGTCATCGCCCAGCCACGGACCTTTGCGGCGATATCAGTGAGTGTAAGGCTGCGTTCACACTGGCCGTCGAATCGCAACCGCGATGCGGATCCGCCCGGTTTCACCGTCAAATGCGCTTAAATTTGCACCGCGTCGGCAACCACTTCGCGGAATCCGTTGAACCGGCAATGGGAAAGCATCGGTGGCTTTGTGCGCGCGCGCTCACTCGCTGATATTGCCGCATCGTTCCGGGATACGGCGCTGATCGACCCGCCGGTCGACGCTCCCGCGATATTAGGGAGTTTTAGTAGACCGTGTTTCCCGCTCCGCTAGCCCTCCGCTACGAAGAAACCGCCACTGCGCCTGCGCGCCGATGGCCTTGGCTGTAGAGTTCCGGGTAGCGGAGGGGCTCAGCGGAGCGGGAAACACGGTCTACTAAAACTCGCTATTATTTAAAAAATTGCGAAGCCGTACCTTTACATCTGAAACGCCCGAGGCATAAAAAGTGGACGGCACATTTTTTGACCGCCTTTTGTTCCTCGGATATTAAAGATGTTGAAAGTTCCCCAGCTCGCCTCATACCGTCTCTGCTATTTGTACCTCTTGTTAGACACGAAGACGAAGCCTTTAGAAAAAAAGTGCGTAACCGAGAGCGTAGTTTTCTTTACGTTTAGTTTGTAGTTAGTCAAGGAAAGGACGAGAGGCGCCTCTTTCGGATGCCCGGCCGCTGCCTTCCGCGGTGCTTTGACTGCGCGTGCCCAATCGAAGCCATGCCGTAGCGTTATCGAAGCTAGGAAGTTAGCGTTCAAAGAGGCCCCTACCGTTCTCATTCTCTTAGTGAGTGAGTGTATTTTTGCCTCTACCAGTTGGTTCACTCCTCTTAGAACGACTGCATTCATGCATTCATCTGATGAACTCGCCACAAAACCAGACTCGGAATAGCGCAGTTCCTCGTAAAAGATATCTTTTTAGAGCGCAGCTCTTAGGGGCCCGTTTCCGGCTTGAGTGGCGTCGGCGTCGGCGTAACCGCGAGGTCACGTGACCCATCCCCCCACGGTCACGTGACCCCTCCCTCCCAGGGTCACGTGACCCCCTCCCCCCGAGGTCACGTGACCCGGCCCTGTTATGTACCAGACTATGTTTATTTAGAGCATAGTCTAGAACATAGAAACGAGATGCTGCTTCTGGTCAGTCGTCGATGGAATGTTCGAGAGCGCGCGCCACATCACTTCATCCTCGGCAGGTTGCCACGAGAGCACTGGTTGCCACGAGAGCACAACCTGCAAAGCCGCAGAAATATAAAAAAAACATGTCAAGGATCTCCAACTACATACAAGAAGGTTGGCCAGAACAGCGCTCAGTTCATGTGACAGCAAAACCCTTTTTTCATTGCAAAGATGAACTGCACATATGTGAAGGCCTAATATGCTGTGGGCAGCGACTGGTTCTACCTACATCATGTCAGCAGAACGCCCTAGAGAAACTACATGGAGCACACCGTGGCATTGTCATATAAGAACAAGGCCTGAGAGGCTCTTTACTGGCCCTCAATGAACAAAGACATTGAGCAGATGGTCCAGCGGTGCAAGCATTGCCAGCGCTACCAGCGACAAAACCAACATGAACCACTTGCTGATCGTCTCTTGCCTGACCGCCCATGGCAAAAGATCGCAGCTGATCTTTTCTACTTTAACAGATCGACTTACTTACTCATCGTGGATTACTTTAGCAAGTATGTGGAAATACAACCCATGGCGTCCGCCTGCACTGAAACTGTCATCACCGCTATGAAAGCTGTGTGCTCCAGATTTGCCGTACCTGATGAACTAGTCTGTGACAATGGACCGCCATTTATTGCAGCGAAATTCAAAGAGTTCCTCACCAGCTGGAACATCACCTACAATCCCAGCTCACCCTATTATGCCAGATCGAATGGACTTGCTGAAAGATCCATTCACACCATAAAGCACTCACTTCAGAAAGCTGTAGAAGATGGAAAAGACCTCTTTGTTGTGCTGATGGATGTTAGAAGCACTCCCATGGATGGGCTGAAGTCGCCTGCAGAGCTCCTAATGGGCAGAAAAATCCGCACACTGGTCCCGATGAATCCAACTCAATTGCAACCCCACTACAACTGCACCGAGGCCCAGACTCGTCTACATTTTTGTCAGGAACGGCAGCATCGGCATGGGGATAAGAGAACCAAGCCCCTGGTCGCACTTCAGAAAGGACAGAAAGTGTGGTTTCAGCACTGTGGCAAGTGGACACCAGGCTACATTAATTCTGTGGGACCCCAGCATCGCTCATACATTGTGATGACACCGGAAGGCACCATGTACAGGGTGTCACAAAAGAAAATTTACACGGTCTTTTTTACCGCAAAAATAAACTAGGCATCGCCGAACGTTCATTCTCCGCCCAAAGGTAGAGCTAGAGGTCACAACCAGATGCCAAAGTTTCAGCCCGATCCGATAACTTAATCAAAAGGTATATGTGGTTTCCTGAAAATTTCAATAGGAAAATGGCGGCCGACGCAGTTTTCAAACACATGGGGCTCTATGGCACCAGAAACCGAAAACGGGCAAAAATGGGCTCCATTTTCCCATTGAACTTTTCAGAAAATCACTTATAACTTTTGATTAAGTTATCGGATCGTGCTGAAACTTTGACGTCTGGTTGTGACCGCTAGCGCTAGCTTTGGGCGGAGAATGAGCGTTCGGCGATGCATAGTTTATTTTTGCGGTAAAAAAGACCGTGTAAATTTTCTTTTGTGACACCCTGTATAGGCGCAACAGGTACCACATCCGACCCGCTCACAGTCAGCCGTTACAGCCGAGGATCACTATGCCGCAGCTCCTTGTCCACTTGTAGCCAGTCCACAGTCACCGCCACCCCCTCCACAGGCAGCAGACAAGCAGGTAGAAAAGTGGTGAAACCGCAAAGATTCATACAATGAAGATCTCGAGTGCTTTGGAATTGTTATTTTGCGTGTCAAGTTACTTTTTTTTTTTTTTTTTTTTTTTTAAAGGGACATGTTATGTATGTTGACCATGTTGACTAACAGCCAGCGCTCCCTGACTCCTGTGCTCTCGTGGCAACCTGCCGAGGATGAAGTGATGTGGCGCGCGCTCTCGAACATTTTATCGACGACTGACCAGAATCAGCATCTCGTTTCTATGTTCTAGACTATGCTCTAAATAAACATAGTCTGGTGCATAACAAGCCCCTCCCTTCGAGGTCAGGTGACCCACCCGGAGGAGATTGAAGAATGAGGGGAGGAGGAGAAGGAGGAGGAAGAGGGGTATGCCCTCCCCTCAGTACCCTTCCCTCCTCCTCCTCAAGAGCTGCGCTCTATTTCGGCGTTACAGGGAGTTGTAAGCGGTTTTGACTTTTTTCTGTGTTTTGATTCGTCTCTTTTTCCTGTACCTGCGCCTTTTGCTCGTATTATTCGTCACGTTCACGTTGTCAGGATAGAAGCGTAATAGGTTACAGACTTACGGAGAAGAAAGTAACGTTACCTTCCCAAAAGACGATTTTGACAAGATGATACCAATGTTGCCAGTAGGACTGTTTCGTCGAGGCGTCTGACAGGAAGTGATCGACGATCCAGAGGAACCACGGCAGGGTTTGGAGAACCAAGAGCAGCACGACCCAGACCTGCGCGCGTTCATTAAAAGAGAAGAATAGACTGTGTGGAAGTATCTTGGGTCGGTGACAGGTTAAGGCGTCAGCAGGTGCTTCGTGTCCACCAGGCGCTCTGCCTGCACATGGGACCGAGTGTTCTCAAAGGCAGAATGCTCGCGCTCGAGGCACACCATCTACTGGAACCCGTCACCGACGTTCCTCTTAACACGTTTACTTCACTTCATCCTTACCACGGCAGAACAGGTTATTGACATTTAGTTTCTGCTGTATCCTTTTCTCCAGCATATACCTTTGTCGAGGCTCGTCAACGCCCGCATCAGTGGCTCGGCATCTCGGTAAAACAAGAGAAGGTCAGCAATGGCGGCTGTAATCTGGCGCGTGCGTAAAGCGTCTATTCGGGCCTTCAAACAGATGCAAAGTGAAATAGTTTTTTGCAAATTTGAATTATCTACTTTAAATCCAGTCGACGTTTTGTCGCTTTCTGTTCCCAGTTAAGTCATGTTCCCCTTACAAAAGAACAAAAAAAAAAAACTATAGACTGATTTTTTCTTTTTACAACGTCTACGTTTGAGAGGTAGGAGAACACGCTAATGATGGTTCTGATAAGAAACGAAATGGCGCGGTAAAAGTCACCAATAAACGTAAACGATATTCCCAAAGCTCTTCTCTCACTACTGACTGAGATCTTGTAATGAAGCCTCAAAAAACGGCGCTCTGAAATCCAATATGGAAATCCAATATGAATCCTCGGGGAGTGGCAACTTTCCTGCCAGTCGAAGGCGACGATGAGTCCGAAGAGGTTGTCGTCTTCGTTCCAGGGGCTGCCGGCCAGGATGGCCAGGTCGGTGCAGCCCATCTCGGCCGTGAAGCTGGTGGCCATGAAGCGGTCGTAGGTCTGGGCGAACGGGTTCACCGCCCAGTCCGCCTCCTGCACCACGGACCGGACATGGCCAGCCCACCGGAACAAACTCACTCTTTCTCTGCGAAGCAAGTGCTGGACAAGAGGGCGTGGCGAGCAGAGAGCTTTGGGAGGCTTGCCCTGCTCTAGCTCCCCTCGAACAAGCGGAAACACGCTTTGATTAGTCGCACGCTGATTGCGACATCTCTGTTTTGTTTCTTATACTGACTTCCGTGCTTTGCGGGTGCCAATATAAGAAAGTGCAAGCATATATTTTATACATATATAGGTTGGGTAGACCCAAGGCTTAATGAGAAATAACGTTGTGGATGAACTAGGGCCTTCAAGCCCATAAAGCTGCTTGGCCCACGGACATTCTGACAAGAACAAGTTGTAGTCTTGGCAGTTTCTCAAAGATACGGAGCTTCGTGAACAGCTACGATAACGCGCGCGTGTATGTGTTGATTTGATTCGTGAGCATGGACACTCGTTGACAAGGTCTTTCGTGTTTGATATTCCTTTGTTTTACCTTCGCTTAAATTCGCACCCTTCTCTCTTCTCAAAGTTTGGGGGCAACCTGGGGATCCAAAGCGTTGGTCCATGTGGCCCTCATACCAAATCGTCCATAGTCATGTCCACCGCGAGGGGGCCGAGTGCAACTGGCCACGCGAGCGGCACTCCGCCGCTGATAAAATGCCGTCGCAGCGTATGCGCGGGGGCTCCCGGGATCGCGGCGCGGTCGTTAACCGTGATTACGTGTTGGTGCATCAGTGCGCTGTTTCACTCCGAGGCGGGTAGAAGCAAGACAATTCTTACGCTGGCGCCCAACCGTGCTGCTCGTCTGGGGGGATGGCCGCGAACTGGGTTCGTTTTTCCTTTTTACATAGTCACGTTTTCTTTTACCGCATTTGGAGGGCGGCTTTCTTTTTCTTTTTTTTAATTTACCCGAGTGAAGTCAACTGCCTTTCTTTCCGCACTTCCCCTCGACCTTCATTTCGTTGGGTTTGTTTATCGTTATTCCTGTGAAAGAGAGACAGCGGTGACAAATGTGGCGGCCCTCATCGACAACTCGCGCGTCTCAGAGCGACGGTTAGAGGCGAGGCTTCGTCACCCAAGCCTAAACTTCTTGGACATTCGGAGAATGTCCCTCACTACTACACGTTGTTGTCTACGGAGGACGCCGTCAGAAACGCCAGTGGTAACGCCGATTTGCCACTCGGCACACTCGCGGGGAACGCCGCCAGTGAAAATAAACCAGACTCTGAGCCTGCAGTCTCAGTCCCGGCACGTCTGAACTTTCAGGTAGCGTCGGGATCTATACTACCTGCTGCAGGCACAATAAGATTGCGAAATCTTCTTGCTCAACAAGAAACAAAGGCAACGGTTTGTGTATCTGTCAGGATTACCAGTATACCATGATTCCCAGTTGAGATTTCGTCGTGCGGAGGGCGTTACATTTAGGTGCGTTCACACTGGCGACTAGTGACAGTCGCGAGAGCGACATCCGACAAGCGACCACTGACGTTCACACTGCGGGCGATCGGCGAGTCGCTATCGAGGAGTCGCTTCTCCGAAGATCTCGGGATCCGCTGTCGATTCCGTACGGTTCCCGTTTCGCTGCTTTTCCCTTTTTTTGTCGTCTCACAGCTACACACGCGTCGTCGTTGCCGACGAAGACTCGTTATGTTGACCCGGGACTTTCGGAACCGTACAAAGAAGCACAATCGCTACGTCGGCGTGGACTCGCTCGCGCTACCTCGTCGCAGTACATACCCGTCAAGAAGTGGCACGGATTTGCTGTCAGGCCGAGTATTTTTTTTCGGGCACTCGTTCAGATCGGGATGCTCCACTTATAAAGCAATAGGCATTCTTTAATAGCGCTGACCCGAGTCGCCGCAGAGACCTCCGTGGCTCATAGCTCCGGCCGCTACCGCGAACTGAGGCGTTGAACGGACATGCTGGTTGCTGCTTCTTCCACAGAAGTTCGGCGTGCCGGATGTAAACAAACGTGAGAAGGACCTCCCGTCACCACCGAGGCGCCGTTGATCGGTTCAGCCGCCGGGTGACTCGGCGTCGCGTTGCAAAATTCGTTCTGGAAGTGACTGCTCCAAACCTGTCGCTTTCGTGACTTGCGACTGTCGCTTTTGCGACCAAAGTCGTCGCGCGATAGCTGTGATTTGCCTGTGCGAACCCGCCTTTAGACTTTACTCCAACTGCCTATCGGGTGGGAAATCAGAATGTGCTAACGCCAGTTACCATACTTGAGGGCTCAATTCTTGGGATTGCGATTCCGTTGAACTTTGGTGGACATGGTTTTTTGCTCCCAGACGTTGTCAACAAGGCGATGAAAAAGTGTCCCGATTACAACTCCCGGAAACAGCAGTTCCATCACCTGCTGGAGACCTTCTACTACGGCACCGAATCAAAACCAAGGATGCAGGATCATTGGGAGGGGATCCCAATGATCGTGCAATGCGGGGCCATAAGTGCTCACAAGGTGGAACTTCATGCGACGCTCGCGGAAATGATCGACAAAGGCGCAGTACGTCAGTCAGAAAGCCCGTGGGCTTCGCCGGTGGTCTTTGCTCCAAAGAAGAATGGCACAGCCAGGTTTTGTGTTGATCACAGGCGCCTAAACTAAATGTCGACCAGAGACAGACCCGTTGCCCGGTATTTCCTTAATAATGTACTCCCTTAGAAAAAGCGATTGTTTTGACAACCGTCGACTGCAGCCGCGGATTTTTTCATATTGAAGTTCATTCGGCTGATGTACAGACAACTGCGTTAATTTAGCACAGGTGGTTCTTTGAATTCACTCGCCTTCCCTTTGTTTTGTTCTCCCGGCAACTTTCACCGCCAGATGGACGTTGTCCTCGGTGACGCGAAGTACGAGTTTGCGATGGCGTACCTAACCGACCTGGTTGCGTGTTTCACGAACAATCGAGGAACATCTCGGGCACCTTCGCATCATACTCGAACGAATGCTTCCGGCCAGTGTTACGATTCATCCAGGTAAAGTTCAGTTGGCCTCGCCTGTAATCAACCTTCTTTCCTATGTTGTAAATAGCGGCACGCTGCGGCCGAATGAGGATAAGAGACAGACCCCTCACGACGTCAAAAGCCTACAGAGGTATTTCGGAATGATAGCGTTTTATGGTGATTTCATTCGGCAATGTGCCGCGATAACGGAACCTCTGAACCAATCACTTCGCAAAAGAACCAAGTGGTGTTGGGTACAACGGCAACAAACTGCATTCGCTTCTCTTTCAAAAGCGGTGACCGAAAACGCGTGTCTGAATGTGCCCGACTTGAATCGTCCGTTCATTTTGCAGACCGACGCAAGCGATTACGAACTAGGAGCAGTTCTTTTGCGGGAAAATGAAAGCTGAATGGATGGATAGATGCGAACGGCTGTACACTTTATATCGGGCGACAGCTTGCGCCGCCTAGCCTAGAAACTAAAAACCAAAAGTATGACTCCTTCCTTCGCCCTTCCAAGCCAATTTGCTTCCCCTCTGCAGTTTTGTAACTATAACCAGGCTTCGTGGAATATCACCAGGATGACCCTCAATGGATCGGTCAAAAAAACTAAAAACATCAGCCCCCCCCCCCCCCCCCCCCGCCCGCCTCTTTCCCTCGCCGGTGGAGACGCTAATTTTTCTCTGGTCAATTTAGTCGGCAGTACCGCGGCACCGGGCGCACTGAGAGACAAGGTTGAAATTTTGGGCTGGAGCCACGCGTGTAAGAGTCCCAACTTTTCTCTGTCCCGCCGGTCCCCAGCTGTGCTAGTTGGTTGTACGGCATTGAATCCTTCTTAGATAATTTCCACCAGTCTTCCCATCTCCCCGTGGTTATTAAAATGCACTTATCATCCATTCTTCCACTTTCGTTTGCAAGCCCCAGCGCTCCGACTAAATCCGTCGCCCCTCGGGGAGGTCGGAAGCAAGCCCTGTGCACCTCAATACAAGATGTTCTATTGTCTCGTCTTCCCCCTTGGCATACGGCACACCGCGT